TCTCATTTTATATGAATCATATATTATCATATTGGGTTTCAATTTTCAAGTTTTATAAGTTTATTTGATTTTATTTTAAAATTTGGTCTTATTAGTAGATATGTTATAACAAAAAAATTAGTATACTCTCCCCCTGTCTCAGAATAATCCATATTTTTTATTTAGAATTTATTTTAGAATAATAGTAATGTTTTTATTTTAAGAAAGATAAATAGTTTTCTTTTATTTAACCCTATAATTATCTCTTAAGTTTAATTATTTATTTTCTTATTGAAATAGATATTTATTCTTAGTTATTTTTTAAGTATAAAATAGGTAAAGATAGAAATTGTTTTCAAATCCTTCATTTGAAGATAAAACAAAAAATTTATTATTCTAGTATGGAGGGAGTAATATTTAAGTAATGAAACTTATTGATTTTTTATTATCACAAAAAATTGTATAATTTGCTTTTAGGATTTAGAGTTGTTGAGATTACAAATAAAATTGAATAGTATGATAATATTCAAGTTATATGAAATAGAATTAGATCGGAGTAAAAAAAAAATGGAAAAAAAAAGTATAGATCCATAAAGGGAACATATATGAACCCAAAAAAAGGAAAAACCTTGGATATAGTCATATAGATATAAAGCAATAGGAAGATAAACTAGTATAAAGTGTAATTAGCTTGTAAAAAGGGGAAAAAATTGTTTGATTGTAGAAAGTGGTAGGGTGAAGAGATAGGATGTTGTCGTATTTATATTTGCCAATCTCACCCGTGGAAATGAAGAACCTCTTCTACTAGAGATAACTAATAACTTAGATAATTAAGTGCTTTACCACTACATACTCTGATATATTATTTTAGGAATTTTGATAAACAATTAAGTGCTTAAAGGTTTTATGTTATCAATTGCAACCTTAAGATTTTTCAGAGATGGAGAAACTTCATTTGAGATCAAAACTTGGATATTATGAGCTTGAAATGAGTTGTGATCAGGGTTTTCAGAATTTTTCAAATATTTCTAAGCTCTATGTCAATGGCTTGTGGAGATAAGAAAATCAGATATCTATAGTCTTATTTACAAGTTAATTACTTTGGTGTTTACTCTTTTAGTTTTTATAGCAACAACAGAGAGCATTTTCTATTATGAAAATTGTAAAGATGAGACTTCGTGACAAAATGGAGGATGAATTTCTTTCAAATTCTTTAATTGTTTATATTAAAAAGAAAATAGTTCGGTCATTTAATGTAAATTTTATTATAAATAGATTTTATGATATAAAAACTCGTTAAATATTATTTTAATTTATGATATAAAAATAAGTTTTTAAAATTACAATGTATTATTTTAAGACTTGAAAAGCCGACCCCTAACTAAAATTCTTAGCTTTGCCACTACTTGTCACACTCTTTAATGCCTCATTTTGTATGACTCGTCTCGTCTAGTGTATATATATTTCTTCATGTACCCTTGTAATAGCGCATTCTTTCATCAACTCATCTAGTGTATTGCTTTTCATGTAACCTCGTCATATGTATTCTTTTATATTTATATATGCCTCATCCGGCATAATTCGTCAAGTTTAAAGTACTCCCTCACTTCATTTGGCAAATTTCTTCTCACAAGTCATTTCATCTGGTGGCGCCCTTTTATGCCTTTTTCGACATGAGTTGCCTTGTTTGGCACACTCCTTATTGTCTCATCTATTGTATTTCTTTCAAAAGTCACCTCCTATGATTACTTTTTTATGTCTCATTTGACGTGATTTGCCTCGTCTGATGTACTCATTGTTGTCTATTTTAACGTATCTTCTTTTATTG